GTAAGAACAGACCTTTTCTGCTATGGCGATCTTCAACGCAGAGGTACTCGAACACCGGTGCTGCGTTCTAAATGTTGAGAGGATTGAGATACCGAAGGCCTCAAAACTTGTCTTCAAACGTGCCCACGATCGGCATCAGCGGCATAGTGGGCGATGTTCACAAGCTACAAGCCGAATTAGTGAGTCCACTTATACACTTAACCTTGTCACTCGCTGTTACGTTACGTTTCGTTACCTACGTCTAAATTTCCTAATTTCCTCCTTTTATACATACGCCGCAATGATGAGGACGATGATGCGCTAGGGCCGTACGGGCTACCAGCGCCGTCCACGAACTCCACAGTGCTGCGTTCCGGTAGTCAGGAATTCTAAAAACCGGCCAAAGGGAACTTTTTACTATTTTTGTACCCCACTATTTTAAAGCCCGTTTTAAATATCAATATACATTTTACTAAACAAACAGTCTTCAAAAAAGTAATATTTCACTGCGTTTAGAAAAAAATTGAGGGTTTTCGCAGGAAAGGAGGTAACCCCTGTCCAGATGAAAAATGAAATTTGATCTTTCGAGCTACAAGCGCGATAACGCGAGCTCGTTTGGAGCCCGTCTTTCCGAGTTCGTTTCGAGCTCGTTTTTTTCGCAGAAGCGAACTCAAAACGAGCTCGTTTTGCTATTAGGGGTAAGCTAACTCATGAACTTGGAGGATTTTTACAAAAAAAACCCTGGTACGCAGAAGGGTCCCGAAGCTGAGTTCTCCAAAGTCTTGCGGTAGAAAAATAAAAATCCTAATAAAAAGGAGACATTGTGGTTTTGAGTAACATTATGTGGTAAAGTAAAAGGAGTTTTTTTTCAGAAAAACAGAAAATTCCGAAGTAGGGAGTCGGGGCTACTTTCTCCCTCAATATATCGATTTGGAGTGAACGCTTTTCTAGTAAATAGCATTTTGCGCCTTAAGTCTATTCAATGAATAAAATAAGCAGCTTCCAGTGTGTGTTAAACTACACCCTCCCATTTCATTAGTTAGGCCAGCTACTATTATTACAGGAAGAGTAAATATCCCCAGGTCCTAACCCTAACAATAGCATGAACCTAAACTATGGGCCTAATCTGAACTGAAGCCTTACTATTAACACTGTCCCTAACCTTAAGTCTTAACTTACGCTTGACTCACCTTAACCCTAAACTTAAACCTAGACCTAACCCTAACTATAAACTTAACCCTATTTTCCCTGGAAACTGGCGCAAATGCGCCCGTCCTGTGTGCAGTTCGTGTTTCCTGTCCTTTTTAGAGGGCCGTATAACACCCCTCCCACAATTTGGGTCTGCGCATCGTTATCGGTTCGGCCTTGCGTGTTCTGTGCCAGCAAACGGTGTAAATTAAACTTAAGAAGTTCACACTTTTCCCCCGACTTCACGGAAAACAGCGCCATTGAAGAAGCAATGGGAAGAAGCACAGATTTCGGTAGAAGAATTAATTTGGGAAACGGTGGCTTATTGGGTGAAGTTTCGACACCGGCTCACCAGGTCGTCGTCAGACGGATGGGAATTGTACGAAACAGTTAAGCCAAAATGATGGCTAACAGAAGCTTACATAGTGGGTCGGGGAAATAGTTGATAATCATCACCCGCATGAGATTACGCGGTCAGTGAGGAAGAAAATAGTTGTCATCCGCATGTAATTATGCGGGTCTGGCGACGACGACCTGGTAGCCAGTGTCGAAAATTCACTCAATAAACCACTGTTTCCCAAAGTATTTCTTCTACCAAATTATACCCCTTGGGATGCCAATTTTCCAGTTCATAAGCACAGATTTTGTTAGTGGACGTACCATCCGAAGCCAGGGTGAAAAGAGCCGTCCTATAGGGATTGTTGCCCAGAATCCTGAAAATGCTCCTGGAGCCCCGTTCGTCCGCAATTGTCTCCGAGTCATCCGCGGCCTGTGTAAAGCCGTTCGATTGTATTGTAAGTACAAGGAGAAGGAAGCAGCTCTGTTTGGCCAGAGGATTCAGGAAGGGTGCGTCCGCCTGACTGTCGTCTGGCGGCACCGGTTTACTCTGTCGACGGGCAAAGCCAAGAGTAAGGACCGAGAGGAGACCGCCTGTGTAAGTGGACAAAGTTCCGGTTTGATAGGGAAGGTGTAATTTTTAGAGGAAAAAAAGCGCAAATTAGTAGGCTAGAAGCAGTTAATGCGTGCATTTGGTAGGGCTTATGAGATAGAGGACATATATATATATATCCATTTTCTGT